AGCTCTGAAAGGTTTGTTTGTCATCACTGCCCTAGGAAAAAAGCAATGTATTTTTCACATGATGGTCTAAAATTAGATAAAATGTTTTCTTCATGTTGTTTTCATGTACACAAAAAACACAAGTGTTTTGGTACCGATAAAAAGGAAAAAGAAAAAAAAAAAAACTATCCCCAACTCATTAAACTACTGCAGCTTTCTCTCACAGTATGTTTACACAATGTTTGATACTGACAAAAAGAAGTTACAAATCAGTAAAACTACCACCTCTTTAGTTTTAGAGGAAATTACATCAAAGTTTTCAACTGCATTCATATGTCAAATAATACTGATGAAAAACTGGTTGTCTCAAAGAGCCCTGAGTGTTTCCACTAAACACTAGTGCATAGCATTACAAAAAGATGAGAATGGCAGGATACAATCAATGCTAAGTAGTCAAGTGTGATTTAAGAAGATTCTTAATTGTTTGCTCAACAGTAGACTAATGATAAACGTTACAGAATTACAAGAGCAAATGTAAAAGGAGAAGACTTGGAGGAGAAAAAGAGACGGGAAAGCCAGGAATGAGAAAATGCCTACTTTGAGAAAATCCTGGATTAAACAGTCACATACCAGTGAATTATTGGGGGAGGTATCAGTAGAAGGCAGTAGGACCGTGTGAATTTTAAATTACTGAAATTTGGAAGGTTAAAAAAAGTGTATTCACCATGCACAAAACATACAAATGATTTCCTAAAAACTGCCATGTGTGTTTTTAATATAACAATTCTAAGGCTTTATCTGAACCTCAGATCAAGAGGTTTTTCACTTACTTTCCCATGGAAAGAAAAAGCAAATACATATTTCCATTCAAAACTTCGAGATTTAAATGTAGTTTTGTCAACAACATTTTGTTAGCTAAGGGTCTACAACGTATGCACAAACTGTGATAATGATTTCTTTATAGCAACATTTTATTTGATTGGACCTACACTGACACTTGGTTCACTAACAAAAGCACCTAAAGTCTCTCTGGTCAAAATCTACCCAGCCCAATTGGCTTAGTTATTTTTTCCTTGCTCTGCGAAAGACCCAACATCCACCGGTTAAAGAAAGTAGGAGAGCTTTATTTTGACTTACAGTAAGTAGAGGATTCAGTCAGTTCAGCCAGCTGGTTCTAAGACACAATAGCAGAACAGCAGGGCAGAGGCAAAACAGTTCCTGACCTGAGGGCAATAAGCAGACAGCAATCAAGGGAAGGAGAAGGAACTATACCCTTCCAGATCACACCCCACTGATGCACCAGGCTTCACCTCCCAACATCACACCCAGGTAGAAGCCCATAGGTGGACTCATCCAGTATCACATACCCATGGTTTAGTCATCTCTCCAGAGCTCCAACTAGAGTGCATGAGGTTTTGGGTGGACATTGAGATAAAAATCATGAAGCCAATTTAGAAAATTTTAGATTTGACTGTAGAATATGCTCACATAAGATACAAATACGGAACAAGTAAAATTCTAATGATTTTATTTCAGAGTGAAAAAAAAAAAAAACTAGCATATAGCAACTTGGGTCCACTTCACCAAATTCTTCAATCAGGAAAAAACAAAAGCAACGCCATTCCAGTCATTAATTTTTGTTTTCTAGTAGCACCATACCATGAGGAAACTCAAAGGGGGTCTACAAAGACAGCTTCTCTACAAATGGTTAACAGAATTTATTGTTACTATCACAAAGTCTGAAAAGAACCAAGGATCTGCAGTTCTTTTAATTACTTCTCACTCTTTAAATCTCATCATTGTTTATTCATACCATGCCTTTCTTTTCTGTTGTCATCTCTAATTCTCTACTCACCGGTCCCACTTTTCCAATAATTCCTGTTGTTTATTACAGTCAGGCTTCCAGTCTCAAATTCAGCAACATCAAAAATGAAGTCTTCAAAACTAGAGAAGAAAATATTCTTCCCAGCACTTCCATTCAACTAAGCCTCACCTCAGATGTGCACAACTTCTACACACCATTCTTCCTTAATATAGCACACACTACTACACACCACACCTCGGCCACCCTGACATATCAAATCACAGAAACAGATTTCCAAACCCACCCTTTTTTCAAAGTCTATCTCAGTTTTCCGAAAGGCCAGATTATTTCAACTCTCTTGTTGTTATCGTTTGTATCAGGATGTCTGCCCAGAGCCTTATGTACTCATATGCAGGACTGTTGGAAGGTTATTGGATTATGGGGGCTTACAGGTGACTTGCTGTTAGGAGATGGGGTGTGGTCAGTAGAAGCAACTTATTGGGGGCATGATCTGGAGGGGCTATCTCCTTCCCTCATCTTCTCTCATTTCTGTCAGGCTGTCTGTCTGTCTCTTTCTCTCACTCCTGGCCAACACGATGTGTGCATCTCTTTTGCTATCCCCTCTGCCATGCTGCCCTGCCTTGGACACAAACCTCTACAAAATGTGAACCAAAATAATAAAACGTCTCCTTTCAGGTGCAGGTGTCAGTTATTTTGTCTCAACAAGAAAGAAAGTGTCTTCTCCAGTAACCAAGATAGCCTCATAAATTGCAAGGTACTATTTTATTATTCACTCATTTCGCTTCCTGACTTCCTCAGGCATGTGCTTACACTACAATGTACTGACTAACCCTAGGCCCAAAACCAACAGGCCAAATGATCATGAGTGAAGCCTCTAAAATTGACTGCATCTTGTGACCAAGAGAAAAAGCACAATTTCATATAACCCTGTGTTCACAAATTAACACCAGAAAGTACTTGCTTTTTGGACTTCCTATCCATTAGTAAAACAAAATCTGCATCATTTATGGGGAAAAAATACAAACATTGACAGATTGTAGTTTATCAGCAGTGTGTTCTTTACTCAGTCATTGCTCTAAGCATTGTTTTTCAGCTATAAAAATGAAACAGTAGCAGTTCAGCATCCTTACTATAGGGATGTAAGAATTAATTGAGGTCAATCCTGCTCAATGTCTGTGCAGAATAAACAACAAATAAGTCATATATTGTCAATCACTATCCTCCTGCTTTTGTGCATTTATCTTTAGAGCTCAGCCAGACTGTAGGCTGTTAAGAGCAGATCACATCTTACAAGCATTCAATAAATACATCTTTACAGAATGTCTAAAAGATACAATGTCTTCCAAAATAATAAGGCTAAATGAGTAACAGTAAGCAGGCCTTGAGTTCAGGGGTTAGGAAACATTAATCTACTCCATTATGGGCCATGTTACTTAATAGGTTGTTGTAGTTTGAATGATAGACATTGAGTGCCTCACTCCAAAATGTATCCAAACTTACATTTTAAAAAGCACAAGCTGTAAGCTAATAAATACACTGTGCAATTGCCACAGATTCTTCCTCACCAGCCAGGTGCCTCCCACAGGAAGGATCAGCTGGGGATAAAAAGGGAGCTATGACAGGAGATACTTCTTTCTGTGATACATACCTCGCTCGTTTCCCTAAAAGTTGCAAAAATTTTTACAAGGTATCATTTGGTTCACAACTAAAGCAGACAGCAACCTAAAAACAACCAGGATCAAACCTGAAATACTGTTTATTCCAACTGCGCTCCTATGCAGACTTACACAAAGCATGAAGATAGGCGAAGTTTGTCTTCAGTGTGCATTGTCTGCGCATTCTCATGCAGTCCATTCTCAACTTAACAAAAATTCATATTTATATACTCCCATAGATGATAAAAGTGCCTATAGCCATGAGAAAGATCTACTCAATTGTTAGAATACAGGACCATTCAAGGATTGACTTTGCATCTTTAGCCAAGTGATAAGGCTGTGGAGAAGGCTGTTAACAGGTCATACCAACCAAGACAAAGGACTCTCAAATTACTATGAAATTGCAGTGGGCAGAAACTGTTTCAGTCACTCAGTTTTAGGTGCTGAGGACGGAGCAGTAAATCAAAGAGACAAAAACTATTCTTAAGTTCAAATTCTAGTCCTAGTGCACTTGTACACAAAAGAACGAGTAGTTGTACAATGTATGACACGGTGCCCCATGAGCGCAGGAGGACAGGGAGCCAGAAAGATGGGAATCGAATACTGTATTAAGGATTCAGGAAATGCTTCCGTGAGGATTAACACTGAGTCACCAGAACCTGAAAGCCTGTGTGGGAAAGGGCTTTACCAGCAAAGGAATCAAAGAAGTCAATACTCCTCAACAGGGACCAAGTTTTATGTAGATACTCCGGGAGGAAAAAAATAGTTAAAACACCTAGATTAGAGTTCCTTTTTGCCTTTCCCTCTGCCAGCTGACCAACCCTTAGAAAGACACTCTTACGTCTCTAAACCTTTCTTCCTCTGTAAACTAAGGATGGACAGTATCACACATCTCAGTCATTTTGCGGAATTCAATGGCCAGGGGATGCCCTTTACGGCACACAAAGATTATCAAGAGCACGTCCTCAGAGCTTTGACCGCCAAATTTGTTTCCTTGTCTGATGATTAAGGCTAAAGGTACCTACCGCACAGGTTGTCGTGGGGACAAGGGCTCCATGAAATAACCCACGTAAACATCGCACCTGACAGAAGCCCCTCTGGACCTAATCAGTCATTTCTGTTGTCCAGTAGGGGTGCGGGTGCGAGCCCGGAGCAGGGCGGCACTCGCAGGCTGCTCCACAGAATTTGTTGAAGGAACTCAGTGTCAAGTGAACCCAAACACTTTGGACTACCTTGCGCAGCATCACTCCATTTCCACACTCTCCTGGGGCAGTCCTGTTTCTAGGAAAACAACTGCACCTTCTGAAGACCGTTTAAAAGTGGAGACATCCGTTTAAAAGCGCTAGAATTGGAGCTACCACCAAACGCATTTTCCCGAAGGTTCCTCATGACTGTCGGCGAACACCGCACCCCACAGAAAAGCTCGCACAACCAAGCACCGTCCTACTAATTTACCGCCGCTCGCACGCCCTTATAAAGCCTTCGTGACGTCACCGCGCTACGCGCGCAAAGACCTGGCGCGACCCCGCCCTCCGCGCAGGCGCAGTAGGCACGGTCTTTGGAAAGTCCGGGAGGCGGGAGCAGTGCGTGGAGTCCGGCGGGGTAGAACTGGCTGCGCGGAGCGGAGGACCGAGACGCAGGTGAACAGAGCGGGTCAGGAGGCTATGCCGGGGAAAGTTTAGGAGTTTTTCCGGTTTATCCGGACGCGGGGCGGTTTTAGGAAAGCTTAAGTGGATGAGACCCCTGGATTCGGAAGGCTCAGTTTTCCCTGACTGGGGTTAGTCTGAAGCGCGGACTGCGGCCGTCAACCCCAAAGCGCCCGGCCTTCCGCAAGCGGGCAGGAAACGAGAGATGGCGTCGCCGGCTGGCCTTCAGTGATCTCAGCGGGAAGTAGCTGTGAGTAGACCCCGGGAGCTAGTGTGTGTGGACCCGCTGTCCGCGGTGCTGAAGGGAAGCCCGCCCCGCCTGCAGTCGCGAGCTGGAGGCGGCCGGTGGGCGGCGCAGGTCCGGGCCAGTGCGGTTCCCCTGAGGGCTCGGTCTCACGACGGGCGCGGCGCGCTCAGGCTGGCCCAACGCGTCGGGGGTCAGTTTCAGAGGACGAAGGAAAGACCTCTTCCAGGAAGGAATCTCGTTCCTAACTCTTTTCTCCCCTAGCTCAGGCGCCGCCAGCTTTTGCGTGCTTTCGGGGACGAGCCTTCGAGCTTGGCGTGCAGAGCATTTCCCTGAACCTCTGTCTGTCCCTGTCGGTCGGGGCGCTGTAACCAGGATGAGCTCGCTCCTGGTGGAAATGCATGGCAACGGGTTTCCCTAAACTCTGCAAAGAAGCGCTGCGTAGCCAGGGCAAGGTGAAGGTACTTTATTGTGCTTTTTCTCACAGCGACACATGAAAAATACTTTTCTGCTTGGAAGCGAGATGGTAGAGCTGGGCAGTCTTCCAATAAAAGAAAGACCATGAGTTTCCAGTTGGTTCTTATACTTGTTTGCCTCTATGTGTGTGTGCACACGCATAAGAGATAGTGTTCCTGTGTTGAAATTTACAGTGGATTTTTTTTCTGTCTGTTGATACAATATAATGTTCACTAGTCTTAGTACCAGCTGCTTGTTTGTTTTTAGTTCTGATTAAGGTTAGACTCTGGAGAAAAGAAGGGAGAATGTGAAATATGTTGAATTTACCTGATTTGTGGTGTTCATGGCTGAATGAGGCAGATTCAAAACCATGAATCCTGAATAAAAATGCCTTTAAATGTAGTCTTTGATTCTATGTATTATTGCCCCCGAGAAAAACCAATGGGATTCAAGTACTAAATGACCAAATACTGCAAAGTTGAGTACATGTGGTAAAAGTAACTTTAAATGTTTTATTATTTAACAGAAAGTGTACCACAGCTTTGATTAAAGATGACCTCCTTGTTCATTCAAGAAATACACCTTTTTAAAAGACATGAAAAAATGTAAGTTTTAAGAAGGATAAACCAAGAGGTTGTACTGGTTTCATTGCTGAAACATATATACTGAGAACACTAAAATCTGAAAGTTTGTTATTTTAAGTTTATAATGCTTGAGGTTTTCTTAGAGGGATTTTTGTGTTTCTTATGAATAACCAACCAACCAAAAAGAGAATAACCAAAATTAAAAGGTATAAATATGTTGTATGTCACCTTACATTGTGTTACTAATTGCTAGATAAGTTGGTGTTTCCTCTCACACTTCCAGGTTTCCCTTTGATATTAAGTGGACTTCTCTAAATCTCTTACCCATTGCTATCACCGTGTTCATGGATATGTGACCTAAACAGTCACACTTGGTTTAAAACACTAATGTCACAGTCTTCAGTCACTTTGTCCCAGGTACTGAAAATTGTGTAGCCATTTAATAATTTAATAATGGTCCTCTTCCTCTGTGTAAGCTTTCTGGCTTTGCTTTTCTTTAATTAATTACCAGACCCACCTTGTTGGCCTTTAAAATATTGTTCTTACAAAAAAAAAAAAAAAAAAACACTCAAAGACCCCAGGTTTTAGTTGTACTTATCAGACAATCTATATGAAACAACATTTTTCTTCAAAACATTTATAAACAACTATCAGGGAAATAGTTAAACTTATATCTGATATTGGTGTGTTTTTCATCATTTAAGAGGATCCATAAATGTGTAAAACAAGGATATGACCATTGAGACACTTTTGAAGTATATGTCCTAAAGCAGTTTGAAATTCACTTATAACTTTTTGCCCATCTTCAGTTACTGTTTTACCTTCTTATGAGCATGTACAGTATATATATATATATATATATATATATATATATATACATTGCCTCTCACTCATATATCAAACCATAATCTTTCTCTTGGAAAAAGAGGAAAAAATATTTTTATTGCTTCTTCAAACATATGGAAGTTTAGCACAATTCTAAATGTGTAACATGAGATTCAGGGGTACTGAAGTGTTAAGCAGAAGGTTTCATATAGCAAGTTATATCAATGTATGTATGTGGGGAGGTATATATAACTATGTGTACAAGGAGATATGTATTACAGTTTGCATTTTCACCAAAAATTAAAACATATCTTCAACATTTTAAAATAATTTTCAAAGACAGAGGCTAAGAAATAGAACTATGTACTTATGGCACATATGAAGAATGTTAATGAAAATAAATTAATGTTACCCACACTTAGGATGGTGATGGCAAACCTTTTAGAAAGGAGTCCCCAACCTGACACTAAAACCTAATTATTTATCACAAAGTGCCAGTATTGCAGTTAAGCCTGAATATTGAGATTTCAGTTTAGAAAAAAAAAAAAAACTCATACATTAACATCTTTTGTCTTAAAGGAAAAACACAATAGCACACATGCCATAGGTTTACCATCACTGACTTAAGACTTACCGAATTACTTAAGTTTTTCATTGTCTTATTAGTTGACATAGTAATTAACTTTCAAAACAAGTTAAGTGAGAAGCAATAAAGAAATGAATTTTATATGTTGGTCAGGCAATACAGTTTTTTTTAACATTTTTTCACATTAATCTCTACTTTTTTCTAGAGTATCACAAAGATTAATGTTACTTCAACAAATGGAGAATAAATTTGGAAATCAAAATACAGAAAAGGCTTCTCAGCTTGCAACTGACACAGCTTTCAAAAGGAATCTTAATCTTTTAAGGGTAAGTTTCCGTGGTTTATGTATCAAGATTTTTCCTACCTTTTCAAAAATTTATTACATGAATTTTATGATTTTAACTTATGTAGTCTTTATTTAGAGTATTAAGTAGAATTAACAAGACAGTATCTTTTTTTCAGTACTGGGGATTGAAACTGTGGCCTTCACACAGAGCTACATTCCCACCCCTTAATTTGTACATTATTTTGAGATTCAATCTTACTAAACCAGTGAGTTGCCCAGGCTAGGCTCAAATTTCTGATCCTCCTGCCTCAGCCTCCAAAAGTGCTGGGATTATCAGCACACGTAACCACCACAGACAATATCCTGTTTTTAAATCCACATGAGTTAAATAGCACTTTGTAAGTGAAAAAAAAAATGAATTTTGAGTATGCTAAATATATGCGGTCAACTAGAAAATTAATGACTACAGATAAAACATTAAGGTAACCTTTATGCAAGAAGTAAAAATAGAAGACGTGTATTTCCACTTTTCATCTTTTATTGAAAAACCTTAAAGTGCCTGTAATATGTTTAGATCCAACTCAAAACTATTAAGCATTAGAAAAATAAGAACAATTTGATTTTTCCCTACTGGAGCCACAGTCAACATACAGCATTCCAATCTATAGATAACAGATTTCTCAGATCCCTTTGGATGGTTATAGAGTAGGTGGTCAAAGTCTATGATTACGCAGGGCCTCACCATTTGGCCAATGTGCCCATTTGGAGTAAAATCATATGTGTAACATTTTTGGCTGCTTGCTATACTTTGCTTCTTCCAGAATTGTGTGGCTTCATCCATAATTAAAACCCTAAAGTTTGCTTCCATTCAAGCTTCCAAGAGATCCTATGACTAAAACATTTGGTAGTAAGACTATATTATTTAAGTTATAAAGAAGTGTTTTCAGTTTTTATTGTTAAATATTTTCATCGATAGGCATGATACAGTTATCTTCTATCCTCACTAAAGGATAAAGGAAGAGGAAAATTCAGTTATCTTCTCAGCTTCTGGCAGTTTGATCCACAGTAATTTAAGTCACAGCCATAGTGCTACCAAAGCATTCTATATTGCCATATGTCTTACTTGCCCAATGGTGTTAGCAATATTTATTTTTAAATGGAAATATATAGGATATTTTGGAATTTGCTGTGAAAAGTTAGAAAAACTAAATTAAAAGGCTTGATTGCTACCTGCCTGCAGCACATGATGTAGTGTTTGGTTTCCAGGTGTTGTCCTTTTAATGAGTGTTTAGTGAGTGCCCAAAGGCTAAAAGTGGAGACAACAAAATAAGTACTATATAAATCAGTGTTCTTGATCTGAAGGCGTTTACAGGCTTAGTTGATGCTAGATTATAAATTCTCTGATACTAAGAACTCTGAGACTTGATGTGGTCAAACACTAAATTACATGGAATATATTTGGAACTATACTAAAAGTAAAAAGCTGTTTAAAAGCGCATATTCTAAGAGGTCTCATAGAAGAAGCTAAGCTTCCACTATGTTTCAGTAGGCAGAAGGCCAAATATTCTATTATATTCTTAAAAAATAGCACTAAGACTTGACAACTGAATGGGCCTATTACAGTCTTGGGAGTGTGAACTACTTAGTTTGAAACTAAGGTCGGGTATGGGTTGTGAGACTAAAGAATTTGATAGCTGGTGTGTAGAGCTAAAATAGTACTAAAATAAGTGAAAGGAAAATACACTTACATAAGAAATACAAATGAGTGTTTAAGAAATACTCATTTAGTTTTTTAGATGTAAAGTGTTTTCAAGAATGGAAGAACTGCCAGGAGTGGTGGTGTACATCTGTAATCTTAACACTTGGGAGTCTGAAGCAGAAATATCAACGTAAGTTCGACGCCACCCTGGACTATATAGTGAATTTAAGGCCAGCCTGAACTACATAGCAAGACCTGTTCTTGCAACAGAGGTGTAGCTAAGAAATTGCTATATAGCGACAGTACCCAGCTTAGGATAATTAACCTTACAGCCTTTTGAGTTTATAATACTACAAAAGTGATATGCATTCAGTAGGCCCATATTTGCAAGGCTAACAGTATGCTTTTAGTGACTTTTTTTTGTGATGCTGGCAGTAGCAGCAAGTAGCCACTCTAATGCCGTTACAGAGAAAACAGCTGTACTTTACAGTGTGTGTTGTTGCTAAGCTAGAGTGTTAAATAGTTTAGGTGTACTCAGGGATTTTGACTTAGAATATTTTCTAATTTCGATGTATTTATGGAACGTAACATCATCATAAGTCAAGGAACCTCTATGTATAGAAGATAATGAACCTGTTTTCATAATTTTGAGAAATTTCAGTTTGATTAATTTCCCTGATTATCAAAGTAATATATTCTTACCATAAAAAATTAAAAGATAAAGATCCAAAATCAGTGCCACTGAGCTAAATCTCCAGCCCTCAGCTAATTTAAACATAAAGAAGCATAAGGAAACTACACGGTAATTACTCCTCATACCAGTGGTCAAGAATAGGTTGCTACATCTAGGATAAGTACTTTAGAACTATTGCTCACACTTCATAAAATTAGTTCCATTAAAACTTACAGTACAATAACAGTAACTATAAAGGATCCTTTTTTTTTTTTTACTAGCCATTTTTTTTATTTGTTTATACCTTTGGGGGGTTTTTTTTTTGGTACCGGAAATCGAATTCACAACTTCATGTTTGCCAGACACTGTGCTGCTAAACTGTGTCTCTGGCTGTTTAGACCTTGTGAGCACTATAAAAAACATTAAAAGCTTTAACATTTTAAAAAGTAAAATACTAGTATTTTACATGATTATATCTTTATAAGACCAAATGTTGACTTGAATCTTACATTCATAGCTGGAAAATACAAAAGATCAGGTTCATATTAGCAATAAAATTCTAAGATATTTGGAAAGCGCTTAAATTTTATTCATGATAGTGTAAAGTTACTTATTGCACTGCAATGTGAGATGTAAAAGAAAATTTAAAAAGAGACATGCCTTAAACCTGAACATAGAGACTATTGTTTTTGTAAAATCATTTCTCCCTAAGTTACATATACATTTTTTAAAAATCTCAACAGAATTTTCATAGAAAGTAGTAAAATTTAGATAAATGCATGTGGAAAAATAAACAAATGAAAATAACAGGTGTGTTATTTGGTTTGGTTTTGTTTCATTTTTGCCTGAGCTACATCCCCAGCCCATTTTATTTTTTATTTTGGAAACAGGGTCTTAAGTGCTCTGTGTTGTTCAGCTGGGCACAAACGTACAATCCTCCTGCCTCAGCCTCTCAGAGAGCTAGGATTGCAGGCATGATACTACCATGCCTAGGTCAAAGAAATTTTTGAAAAAAAGAGTAATAAGGAAGTGGCTTATCCTATCCTATCAAATATTTGACTATATTAATAAACAAATGGCTGTAACTATAAGTAGGGAAGAAACTTCACAGTTAGGCTTCGGTCAAGAAATGTCATAAAAGATAGTGAACTGGCTGAAAATGTATTAGTAAGATAGTAGTTTCCTAGCATTCATGAGACCCTAGGTTTGACCACCATTCCCCAGCACCACTCAAAAACACAGGTTGAATAATTTTTTCCCAATTAATATTAAATACAATTTATCTGCCTTTAAAAGACTCAAACATAATTTACGGGTTTGGTTTTGAAGAGATTTTCTTTCTATAAATATTTCTCTCCACCCTCACCTCCTGGAAAGCTTTGTTTTGCCCAAAAAGGCAATTCTGTAATAACATCATCTTAGAGAAAAAAAAGACAAATACTCCAGGCAGAGAACGAATAGAAGAAATGCTGCCCTCCAATGATGATATGGACACCTTAGTGGGACCAGCAACCGTTAAAAGAGCCTTAAAACTGCCACCCAGCACAGCTAGGGATGTAAGTGTTCTACTAACTGTTCTTATCAAAGACAGTAATAATATGTGAAGTATAATGCTTAATTAGACACAAATCATTTCATATATTTGCTAAAAAAATCTCTCCTCACTGAGCATTCACAGTTCCATGTTACGTATATCTTAACTCAGACTCACCGTATTTTGAACGCTTGGGAGCCACAGAAGTGAATGCTTAGGGCAGTGATGGCAAACTGTTTAAAGATGAGAGCCCAAACTGCAATCCAAACCCCACTTATTTATCACAAAGTGCTGACACTGCAATTAAACCTGAATATTGAGATTTTAGTTAAGAAAACAACTCACACATTAACATCTTTTGTCTTAAAAACAACTAACACATGGGCTGTAGGTTCACCACCACTGACTAGGGTATTAACAATATAGATCTAGAGGCCTCATCAGATTCTGCTTCAGTTTTTTAGGGAAGAACAGTTCCATAATGAGTAGAGGCCTCTCCTGGAATTGCCTAAATAAACTTATTAGAGGTGACAAAAAGTTACATTCAAATTGTTTTTATTCTCAATTGGTGACTGATATATAAAGAAAATCTTCCCTCATAACTACTTGATTACACTGAACTGTAGTTCTCAAAAGGTATGCTGACTACTTGATTCTTTCCTGATATTTACTTACTTTGATTGGTCTGGTTGGTTGGTTGACTTCATTTTTATTTTTCTTTTGTGCTGGGGATGGAACCCAGAGTCTCACACATAGTACGTAAGTTTGTTGCCAATGAGCTATACCCCTGACCCTGTAGCAGTAGTAGTGAACCTATGGTATGTGTGTGACTGTGTTTTTCTTTTGAGATAAAAGATGTTAATATGTGAGTTGTCTGTTTTCTAAACTAAAACCTCAGCATTCAGGTTTAATTACACTGTTGCACTTTATAATAACTAAGTGGGTTTTGGGTACTTCTCTGTAAAAGCTTCACTGTCACTTTAAAATAATAGGTTGATTCTCTGAAGACTGACCAGTGAGGGGTTTTGTTTTTAATTTATCTGGAATTTGAAATGTTTCAATCTTTTGAAATTTTTTACTTACTTTTTTCAAATTGTCCTATTTTTATCAAGTGGAAATTTCTTTAACATGTCTTCAACATGATCCTAACAGTCTTTGATACTTTCCTTTCTTTCTAATATGATGAGTTCTTCAAAGCTCATTGGGTACATTTGCTGTCCAGACTTAGAATTGGTCATTTCTTTCTTTCATCAGGAAATATATTAAGAGCCCTGGGCACTTAGAACTATTTATTACAATTTTTTGTCTGTCTTTGTTTGTTTTCTTTTTCTTTTTTTTTTTTTTTTGTAAAATGAGTTCCTCTTAGTACTTTCAGTTTCATTATAGGATTGGAAAATTCTTAACTTTGATCTTGTGTATAACTTCTACCAAAAATATCAGTTCCCAAAGGATTATCCCCACCACCATAAATATGTAGAGTAATTCCACCTTACCAGTGGGATATATACTCTAAGACAAGAACCCAGTGAAGATCCAAAACTGTAGATAATGCTAAATCCTATTTATACTTACTTACACACACATATATATACACACACTATACATATATACATATACTAAAGCTTAATTTATAAATTAGGCATGATAATTTTGTTACAGTAACTCATAGAACAACGGTAACAATTTATTGTAATAAAAACTGAAGTGTCTCTCTAAAAATATTTTATTGTCCCATACTTATGCTTATGCTGTGCGATGATACAATGTGTGTATAGTGAAATGAAGTAAGTGATATAGACATTGTGACATATTAGTAGGTTACAACATAAGGATTACTTGAATGCGTGTAATGCGGTAACTATCTGATTACATAGCCAACAATTAAATGATCAGTGGACAGGTAGCTCAAGCACTGGATACAGTGAACAAAAGATAACCGTTTCCTAGGCAGGACAGAGTGAAATGTCACAAGATTTCATCACGCTACTCAGAACAGCAAGCAAATTTAGGAATTGTTTTTTTCTAGATTTTTGTTCCTCTCTCATTCTTTCCTCCTTCCACACTCTTTTTGGTGCTACGGAATGAACTGAGGGCCTTGCACATGCTGGGCACATACTGTGCATCCTCAGGTCTAGGATTTTTCTACTTAACTATTTTTAGGCCACAGTTAACCATGGGTAACAGGCTTCAAAAAGGAAAACCACAATTTTTGGGGAACTGTTGTACTTTATTCTGTGATACAAACATCACTTCCATTACTAATGTGATTATTGGGACTAGCTTTTTAGTAAGACACCTTTATAGCTTTTTTTTTTTTTTTTTTTTTGCCCTTAAGCTATATCTCACTAGGAATGTTCACTAAGTACTGTGTTCTAAGACTTCTTCATGGTTATGCCCCCAATGAATAGATTTCTATCATTTGCTTTTCAGTTGCTTTCTAATTCATTCTATCATACAAATTTTTAAATGGTATAATGGCAAATCTATAAAACAGAATATCAAGATACAATCAGGTAAATTCAACCTTTCTTCCTCTGTTCTTTTTCCTTTTCTCTCCTCTAAGCTTGAGGGGTTTTGTTTGATTGTTTTTAGTTGTTTTTTTTTTATACACAGGAAAGTGGCATCCTAGTTATTAATTTAATGACTGTGTAAGGCTGTAGTATTTTCCTTGAACTTTGTTAGATCCTTGAATACATAAAGGTTATGTTAGACCTTTTGGTAGTGTTTCTAGTAATTAAAAGAAAGGTTCTTGTATGGAAGGATCAGGATATAAACAGAATGCTGGGATCAAATTGCAACGGTTTGTTTTTATTAGGCTAAGAAATCACACTTTCATCCTCTGTGTACTGAGTATCAATGTTTTTTTTTTTAATCTAGAGAATAACATATTTAAAGTAGTTCTTTCAAACAACTAGTTAATCCCATGATAGATGTGAATTGAAGTATAACAAGATACATTCTTGGCATGAGTCAGAATAGTCATTCCTTAACTCCTTACTGCATGAATATAGTTATAGGACAATAGCCCTGGAAATGAAAAGGAAATGCTAGAACAGGTGTCCTGAAGGAACAATCTAGAAACCTTTGAAATTTTAACTGATAGGAAATAAAAAGTTGAAAGAAGATGTAGCACAAGTATCTGGGTGAGTAAAATTCCTACCATGATTTACTCAAGTCCATCCAAAAGGAAGAAGATGAGCCTAGTTTTATTAGTTTGAGAGATAAGGGTCAGGAAGAAAGATTAGTTATCCCTCTACAGTAATAATTAAAGCTAGGTAAGAGACAAATGTAAGAGAAGATAAAGTAAAAATATAAAAACAGATGTCACAGATCTTAACAAAACCCACACTTGGAAAGCAAAATGAGCCATCTAAAGAGAAGAACAGGAGAGTTACTACCCAAAACATCTAAGAAATAACAGTATTGATGTTAAGGAAGAAGTTTTTCAGAGATGTAGTAATCTTGGGGCAAAGTGTTACAGAAATGACAGTCAAGTGTCTCACCATCAGACTGCTTTACCAAGCCACATGTCCCTGTCTGTATCTGCTGCTTTTGTTGACAAATCTGCTCTTCTATAAGAAATATAATTCAATTTCTTTTTATTTTCTTGTCTTTAAGAAAAACAGGATGTTTTTTTCAGTGCTTATAACGTCTAGATCTGCCACTAAAAATAACTTTGTGACTATTTTTAGACTATTAAGTTAAGGTATAATTATTCTCTTCTTGTTGTCGTTATGTGATTTTTGAAAGCAAAATAATTTTTCCAAGACCTTGTAAAATCAATGTAATTACAGAAAAATTAGGCTTCTGTGTCTTGTGTGCAGCATTGGCATCAAATGCTCTTTAGCATGTGCCTTAGCTGTAAACTTCTGGTATGGGATAGACATGCTAATAGATCCATTATTTTATCCCTAAATTGACATGTTCTTTTCCTTCAAATCACCTTCCTCCAGACAGCAGGTGCATCAATGGTTGTGCAACTTTGGGGAGTCCCTTTAGGGAATTTCCTGTTTTTCCCTTTTACATTTCACACCCATTCCTTGCTCCTGCCGCTACCATCTGCTGTCTTTTTTTCTCCTGTTCAGCACTGGCTTCTTCACACCCCACTCCCACGCCCTTTTCCATCTCTCTCCGTCTGTCCAACAGCCCTCTACTTAGATTGCTCCAATGTGTGTATATGGATCAAGAGAACTTTCTCTTTTCTGTCAATTTACTAAGCTTAGAGGAGAAACAAAATTTACATAGCATTGTGCCACAGACCCTGTGAACTTGATGAAACATAATAAATGGGCAAAAGACAACATAGGTACTGATTTGGGAGGCATTTCTTAAACAAGACTCAAATGTTTGTATAAAACTTTACAGAATCCTACATTTCTGGGCATGTGCCATATATGTTTCAAGGTAAAAAATTATATCTTAAGCTTATGGTGTTTTTACAACCATAAGGGAAAATAGATGTATCTACAAATGAAACTACGAATTAAAACATGGTGATTGAATATACCAGCTAAATGGTATTATCCAGCAATAAAACTTACCATTAAAAATAACTCAGAAATTTAGCCCTAAAAATTTAGCTTAGTGAAAAGATTCCTGTCATAAAATACTTCTTTTAATTAAGTACAAAATTTAAAAGCAGAATGTTGAACAAATGTGTGCTATCAGTATACCATTTGCATCATTTGGAGAGATTAGAACTCTTCACTATAGGGTTAGCTATGTAGCACTGAGTACCTGCATGTTTTTATATCTGAATACAGTACTTGATTTTATCCATTCAGTTGTTTTGAGATAATTTTAAAGCTGGGTTAATGCTCTGAGCATTTTTAAATGGGGCTGTTTTTGCAGGAATTTCTGGCGTTTGCCAACAATTCGAAGTGAAGAAACAGAACATGAAAGTACCAGCACCTTTCTGTTTTAAAGTAAGGCACCCACTTTAATAGAAGTGGATGAGTTGAGCTATAGTCAATTCTCCTATCTTAGTGTCCTTAGTGTCTTTCCATCATTTCAAACCAAATATGAAGAAGAGCTGAGATAAAAGATTTCGGATGCACGTACTGGTAGTACAGGTGTCATTTATAACCTATAAATACACTTTGATTTGAAAATGTTCATATCTGTTACAGGATATGGAAGCAGCTGAAAAATCTTTGCAGAGCAAGATTCACCCACATCTACCACCTGAGGTGGTCTCTCTTGAGGTGAGATTCTTAAGGAACAAATAACTAAATAGACCCTAACATATTGTGGGGCACTGTGATTTAAATACTAGGCATGTGTGTGTTTCCAGATTTATTTATTCAGTAAAACAAGATGCATTTGATTTATCTTAATTTTTTTTTCTTTTGTGGTTCTGGAGCTGGAACCCAGGAATGCTGAGCTCATTTCCAACCCATTTTTTAAAAAAAATTTTAGACAGTTGCCCAGATTAGGCTCAAACTTGCAATCCTCCTACTTCAGCTTTCCATGTACCTAGGATTACTGTGCCCAGCTCTGATTGATCTTTTTATATGTCCACAGGTACCATGTCTTATATATAGCAGGTAATGAGTATCTTGGAAAAAATTTTATCTAATGATAATTTTTATGATGTTATTTTTCCCCTCATTACATAATAGATATCCTTTTAAGCATAACAGTGTACTTAAGTCTTAAACATGTCCAAAATGTTTTTCCTCTTAGAACTGTTAAAAGTAACACTCAGTCCCTTCAAAAAATGTAACCAGTTATTTAAATGCATATTATCAAACAATGTAGTGTGGCTTTTGTCTGTTTTATTTAGCTGAGTTCTAGAACAGATTGAGTTATTGATTGGCAAACTAAAGCACACTTGGTATATGTGTCTGATGAGTGAAAATTTACTACATACAAAATAGCTTTTTTATATTTTAATGACCTTTTTTTCAAATCTAATTTTACTTCATGCCCTGCTGTGTATAAGAGTAGACTCAAAACTCATGATTGGGAGTTTGCCCCTCAATTTCTGTGTCATCCAGGGTAGTAAGAAAAGGCAGTGATTGAGGACAGTTGTGGCTTGGTCATGTCATCCTCTTTGTTCAGTCTCCAGCATCTCACTCTGTCAAATAAAGGGGCTATATCATAGGAGTTAGTCCGGCTGTGAATAGTGGAAAACCTTCCAGCCAGATTTCCAAGGTGTTTTTCTTAACTAGTTTTGCATAGCAGGATGACCTGTATTTTAAGTAGATTAGATTGTATCTCAGACCATATGTATAGATGTATAGACAGTTAGAATCCTTCACCATTTCAACTATCCAGTGCTGTACTTTTATTGAGATAAATTCTCACTCTGTAGTTCAGGCTGACCTTAAAACTCACTATGTAGCCCAGGCTAGCTGTGAACTTGCAGCGATCCAAGTGCTGGGATTACAGGCGAGTGCTACCACACCTGGCTTGCACCTTTTAAATGCCCAGGTAATAATTATGTTCTTAATGCTGAATTTCCCAAATGGGATTGACAATGTTGATCTAGTATAAAATGCACAAGGATTTCTGCAATGTAATTCTCTTTGGCCACCTTAGGACAGTCACTGAGAAACTCATCAAAGCTTTTAACTAAGTAAGGCATGGTGTCACCGCATAAACTTTTATAGCTTACAGATCACTAGTCAGATAGTAGTAAGACAGTACCTTACACTCCAAAAAAGAAATTTGAGAAAAATGATTTTGTCTAGTCAAGTTTTATTTTGGGGGAATTTTTTGAGACAGGGTCTCACTATGTAGTTCAGGCTAGTATTGAACTTACTGTGTAGCCCAGGCTGGCCTCAAACTCACTACGATCCTCCTGCCTCAGCTTCCCAAGTGCTGAGTTTACAGCCATGCACTACCATGCCTACCCTATTAAATATTGTTTTAAAAGATATAGTAGATACATGTTTTATACGTTCCTAAGGGTCCTATACTGTAACATACTGGTTAGATTTCCCTTCCTAATGTTACCCCTCATCAAGTCAGTGTGTGTTAATTCTGAAGAATTTGTTCACATCTAATAATTTTATTGTAATAATTCCCATGTGAATAACTATTTAGTAGGGAATCTTGGGCATTAAAAATATTTATACCACTGGCAATAATCACAAGATTTGCCACAAGAGGGCGTATAAATTCATAATAAAATTCTAAAACCTATAATTCTGCCAGGCACTGGTTTTACTGAGAAATTGAGAATTAACACTAGTAAGTAGCCAGATTTTTTTTCTAAAATTAGCATAAAATATTCTGTAGAGGAAATGCATTCTACATATATGTGTGTGTATACATGCACACACACTTAAGTGAATAAACATTTAGACTATTATGAAGAGCCAAGTTCAATTGCTTGATACACTTTTTTACTTTTGGATTTTTTTTTTTCAGACTCATTACTGGGCATCAGTAGAAGAGTATATTCCCCAATGGAAACAGTTTCTTTTAGGACAAGCATCATATCCTACTGGTATTGAAAATCAAAATAAATCAGAAAACACCATTCTAAATGAAGCATAGTGATAACTACTTCTTCATACACTACCTTAATAAAGCTCATTTTTAAAGAGCTTTTAGGTAATTATAGGAACATTAGGAATTGAATATGTTGATGCTGTTTTGTTAACTCTAAATGACAATGAAGATATGAGAATCTGCTGAGAAGTTTATGATTATTCCTAGTATTCAGGATCATGAGTTTGCTTCCTACCAAACCCATGGAAACTGTTAAAAACTAGTATTAAATCTTATTAAATAAATTATTGGATCAATTTGTGTATGTTATTTAAAATATTTAGTCATTCTAACCTAAAAAAGTTGATTCAGATTTTAAGTTAAGAATCTTTAACTATATTAATATGGGAACATGGTACAGGATCTTGGTCATTATGTGTTTTCCATTACAGTTTCTTTTAACAAATGAAAAAGCAATGACACTTAGCTGCTTTAGTATACAGTATTTAATACTTACCAAAAAATAAATTCCTAGAATTTTGTGCCCCACAGATAATCACAACTCTAAAAGTTCTAAAGATGGAAAGACTAGAACTGTAAAGCATTCAAAAGTAGCTGGTTTCAGGAAGGTTCAAATTTAGTTTTGGAAACAGAGACTTTATTAGAGTTAGGAATGGTTATTGGACATTAAGGCTTGCCACCACTGTGATGCAAATAGCCCCTCCCTCATCTTTTCATCTTTAAACATGTTCTTTCCTCTCCCTTCTATTTTCATTATTTCTGAAAAAAACTGTCGGAAAGCTTTGGGCCATAATCCTGAACAAGTTTAAGATTCTTCAGTCCAGCATGGGGGAAAAAATGATAATTTTCTAACTGTAGAATCCGCATATGCTGTAAAACTATTTCTGTGTTGTATTACAGTGAACTTGTTTTAAACTGCAAACTGGTGTTTTTAAGAGAAGACAGTAGGCCAAGCTAGAAAATAAAATATCAGTACCACAAACAAAACTTACCTTGAAACACCCATTGTAAGTTCCTTTAAACGACCATCTTGGAAATATCCTGTTGAGTGGGTGTTCATGTGGGAAACAATAGTGTTGTTTTCATAATATATGCTGGCAGATTAGCACACTTCTTTACAGTGTTAACAGTTGTAATTAAGGAATAAACAACACAGGGTGTCAGTCTGATGACAATTTCATCTATAGTGTCATAATAAAAAAAATCACAAAATATTAGAACTGTTATGTAACTATAAAAATTTAAAAGCTGAAAGCATTTTTTAAAAATAAGACCAAAAGAAAAAAATAAGGCAACTGATGTAGCAGCCAGAGCAGTTTTATACCAAGGAACATGAAGAAGTTGTGTTGTTTTTTTTTTTCAATCTTTCCCAGCATATGCACATAAGAAGGTGAGTGAAGCAATGCGAAACTTAACTTCTCTTTAGTCAAGTGAAAAAAAGGCTAAACATTCGTTAGCTAGTAAAATATTGTGTCAAGCAAGTAGGCATATTCCAAAATTAAGAAGTTGATATGTTAACATCCTCAAATATTTAAGCATACATTTCCTTTCAGATCTGTAAATTAAATCACCAGTAGATTAGATTAAAATACAAATGAATGGCATTTAACCACCTTAGAAAAGGTTTGGATTTTTTTCTCCCCAAATTGACTAACTTGCTATTTTTTATTGTTGTGTTTTCTTTTAAGTATAAATCTAATATACTCTGGGTTACAATTTAAGCAGAAGTGGAGATATTTTTAGGCTTCATTATACCATCTTTTGCATTTTAGTTAATACTTAAAAGCCTCCTGGAAATGACTTTATTCCTGGTCCCGTAGAGCCCCTCTACCCTACCCTGCCTTGTAGATGGTTAGCAGATTGCAACACATGGTGTCTGTTAAAAAAAAAAAAAAATTCTCATAGGGACCTAGATAGCCCATTAAAGGGCTTTATATTCTCATGGCCAATTAGTTTTACATGAATTTCCAAACAACATTTCCTGGGAGGAAGGGAGGAATAACATATATAAAGTGTGTGTGTGTGTTTGTGTGTGTATTTTTTCATCATTAGTAGAAATCAGACAAGGAAAAAGAAATACCATCTAGTCATACCTTCTGCTTTAAATCATTGTAACTACTGCATTATACTGGATCCATTTACTATCTGCCATAAAAACTGATTTTTTTTAAAGAATTTAATAGAGTTTTCAAAATAAAAGTCATTCAAAGATTTTTCCTCCCCCCCCCCCACCCAAATTCTTTCTTGGATTGTTTTGACTGCAAAGCTCATTTTCTTCTGAAACTCTTCTAGTCTATGAAATTATTAAACTATAAAATGCTAAAGATCAGAAGACAGCCATTTTCTCTCAAACTTCAAAATTGTAAATTTTAAGTACTAAGGAAGAATAGTAATACTCTGGAAACCAGACATCTGGTCTTTCTTGTGCATAGGAAATGGTGTGAATGGATGTCACACAGACACAGTTTTTCTCTGCATTATGCAATGTTTTACCTTGTCTGCTTAAGTTAATGATCTGTAACTTCTTTTACAGTTTTGATATTTTTACATCATTCCCCTTTTTCCATTCAAAAAATAATAAAGTGAATATGTGGGCATATTTATTTTTGAATTTAAACGTTTAGAGATTATTTTGTCACTTTCTACATAATTGGAGGTCTGTGAGAAAGAATGAGAGAGAGAGAAAGAGGAACAAGTTTTGACATTACCAGTGTCAAAGGAAGATACCAGACTTTAAACACCACTATGAGCCAGGCTCAAGTGCATAAAATTTAATGCAAAAGGCCCATGAATTTGGTTATCTACAAAGTATATTTTCCATTTATTTGTCTTTTTATCCTAAGCCAATTCACAACCTTCTATGTTGTTTTTCTTAAGGAAAGTATTTTACTGAAAACAAAATAAATTTTCTAATCTTACAGAATCCTTTTCAAGAATTGCTCTACATAATTGCTGCATGTTTTAAAACATTCTTCAACCATCATCTGTTTTTAACCTCTTCCACTTTAATTAGGGTATTTGAGATATCTTTCTTTGAGAATTGTGAACCAGAATCTATGCACAAGTAACAACCAGGGGGTGGTTGCCTGCAGGAAAGGGTCTAGAGGATATGGAAGTGACAAGGAAGAGAAAAGAGATTACTTGAGAAAACCTCAGGTTGGAATGGGCACCATCCACCTCCCATGTTTTTGTTTCTCTCATAATTTAGAAGTTAATTCGTCTACATGGGAAATTTAATTCCCATTGCTAATAAAAGAATAGAATTTTCTGAGACAAACAGGGAAATGTCAAACTTGAATAATTAAGGAGAGGATTGATTTGTACATTTGACACCTGGTATTGTGCTTGCTCTTTCTAACAAACTGAGATTATATCCTTACTAAAATCTAAGAAAAGGAAAAGGACTCCAACAAAGCAAGAGGCTCAGAATGCTTCCGGACATCACCTTACTGTGCAGAGTCAAGTTTCCCTGCTTTCTCCTAAGTTACAGCAATGTTTTAAAGTTCTTGTGATTTTAAAAACTCAAAATTTATTTCTCAGACAAAGACAGAGAAAGAGATGCTGTGAACATAGACTGTAGATTGACCACACTAAAATAGTTGTGTTGAGAGAGAATCATAATGTACTTATTTTAGAATGTGATGATTTGATGTGTTCCTTTTTTTATGGGGATTGGTCATTTAACTTCTCAAGTTGAAGTATTTTTTTCATTATTCCTTCCTAAGATTAAGTTTCAATGTAGAAATTTTTGATATTTTGCACAATACCACTTTAGCGATAATACAAAGGGAAACAAAATTCTGCTTGTATATTTTGCCTAATAGATTTCTATTTTCTCATCCCCAAAACTAAATAACAACAGCAACATTATAGTACAGGAGATTGAACCCAGAACCTTTGCACTGAACTTTACTGTGTAGCAGGTACAGTTGTACCAAAAATATAGCAAGGAATAAAACAATCCACATCCTCTTGGAATTTGTTCTGGCAGAGGCAGTAGGTAAAAAGGGTTGAAGGTAAAGGTAACAACCACAAAAATATGTGTTATAAACTAGATATTGTAATAATGAAAGTGATAGTGCTTAAAAGGATGGAACAACTAAGATGGGGAAGGAAAAAAGGAAGAAAAGATTGTATGTTGGTAAACACATGAATGTATGTATGGATATGTATACTAGATGGATAGCTATACTACTAATCTCAGTTCATCAAAAAAAAAAAGTGCTGTCATGATCACTTTTGTGTCCAGATTTTGGAACCTGAACAACTTCTAAGACAACAATGTGCAATATATTAACTAGTGTTAATTCGCTACTTTTTTTGTGTGTGTGTTTTTCATTTTGATCGGTACCAGGGATCAAACTCATGACCGCCTGCTTGCAAGGCAGGTGCTTATGCCGCTGAGCTAAATCCCCAGCCCTTAATTCGCTACTTTTTTAAAAAATTCTGTATCATTTCTTTTTTTGTTTTGCTTTTTTAAAAAATAAAAAAAAAACTTCCAAAATATCAATGCAAGAAAACAAACTTCATCATCTTCATCATTGCTCAGATGTTACAGCTAGAACAGAATTTTTTCCTTTTCAGTGATCTGGAGTTGAAACTTCTCAGTGAAACAAAATTTGCACAGCTACAAATAGTTTGGAAGTTTTATAATGAATGATTATGTGATAAAGAATACAAAATTAAATTCTCACTATTCTGATACCTGCTACAATTTGGACAAAGCCTGGAGACATAAAACTAAGCGAAATAAGCTCAACGCCAAGGATTTAACACTGTTCTACTCTAAGGTACCTAGAATAATCAAATTCATAGAAGCCAGAAATAAAACTGTGGTTGAACTCTATGGAAGAGCACAGAGTTTCAGTTGGAGAACATGAAAACTCTCGATATAGATGGAAGAGAGATGCACACAACATGAACATGTCATTACTAAAATATGTGTTGAAAAGTTAATAAAATGGCAAATGTTACGCTGTATACAATAACCACAATAAAGTTACTTATGAAATAAAACTTGAACATATCCGTGATATGAACTTTGATTTAAATCATTATGGGTGATAAATACAAGCTTCATTACTTCAACAAGTCAATGACAAATCACATGTATGATCATATTCTTCTTATAATATTACAGTAGACAGCTACAGACCTTTTTCAATTGCTGACACAAATACGTGACATAGAAATTTAAAGCAAGAGACATTTGTTTTGGTTCATGGCTTCAGAAGATTTGGTGTATGCTCACTCACTGGCTCCAAGGCAGAAACATTACAGTTGAGGAAAGCCTTGTAACCCATTGCATCCAGGAAGCAGAAAGCAGAGGAGGGGCCAGGGACCAGTTATAGTCCCCAAGGTCATGGCCTTGACCCACCCAGACACACCCAAAATCGTACTTAACTTAGACTTCTCTTAACCCAGTGGACAGTCCAGAGTGTCACAGGAGCTAAACAATTCCTAACTCTTTGTACTGACTATTATAGTTTATGTCATTATTTTAGAGTGCACTTCTACTTAGAAAAGTTCTCTAAAAACAGCATGATCTGATTCACCAGCTGCAGCCTGATCACCATGTCTGTACCATTTTCTTTCACCTTGACTGTACCATTTTCTGTTGAACTTATTTCTTGTTTTGTTCACCAAGGCCCTACAAGCAGTAGGCTATCCTATGTGTATACCATGTAGCCTAGGTATATAGTGCATGTCTCCATTTTGTTTGTGCAAGTACACTCTATAATGTACTTACACTCACATGATGATGAAATTATACAATGACACATAGCCCTATCAATAAATAGCATATAACTGCATCTAAACAATTCTTTAGCTATGTGTTTTAATGACTGCTACTCTGGGGATTTTTGTTGTTGTTTTTAGTTTTTGAGATAATGAGATTGAACCCAGGATGTCACACACACGCTAGGCAAGTATTCTACTACTGAGCTATGTCCCTAGCCCTCTTTTGTTATTATTATTTTGAGACGGAATCTTGCTGAGTGGCTCCAGGCTACCCTCAAATTCATGATCCTCCTGCCTCAGACTCTTGAATAACTAGTATGACAGGCACGTGCTACATTGCCTGGCTTTGGATATTTATTTACATCTGTGAAATTCCTTACAAAGCTGTAGTCCTAGCCTGCTACTAATTACTGCTGAGTTTCCTTAATGCATTGAATTAGACCTACATTGTCCCACAGAGCTTACTGAAACCATAGAATTGTTCTATATCCATGTTCTCCAATAAGGCGATCACTACTCATATGGTTACTGAGAATTGAAATCATGCAAGCATAACAGAGAAACTTAAATTTTAATTTAAATTATAAGTTTGGAAACACCTAAGTATATGAATCTACTCTTTCTACTGTAAATTTTATGAATCTTGAATAGAGATCAAGTATGTCTACTGAAAATCTAACATCCTACTGTAGACATGCTAATGTATAAAATGCACATTGGACTTGAAAGACTGTATAAACGAAATAATGTGGCCTGTTAATTTATTGATAACATACTGAAATATTTGCAAATTATTAGATAAAATATATTTAAATTAGACTTACTTGTTTATAAGGGAGCTACTAGAACATTCAATTGCATCTGTGACTCACATTATATTGGACCAAACTGCATGAAACTAGACAATTCCTGAAAGCCTTTGTAATTCGGTCAGAAATTCAATAAAGTTTTATTAAATCTACCTAATATTTAACTTTGAAGCCTTTAATTGATGAATTTTGGTGAAAACTTATGGTAAAATAGTTGAGATTTCCATAATTCACTTCTAGCAGAATACTAAAGAAGAAGAAACCTAAGTAAAAGTTTGTAAGAGCACAATGTGATTTGTGGTTTTATAATCAGGTGTGTGTTTATTTTTGGGATTCCAGGTTCAAACACAATCCCTGGAAAACATTAGACACTCAGTATTTTGGGCTGAATAGGCAAACCAGGATTTGCATTTTGAATAGTCATAAAGTCTATTTGATGAGAAAATTTATTAAAGATGAAACAGCATGAAGCCACACGTCAGATAAAATAATTGGGCATTAGTTTTCTTATGGTGCAAGATAAAAACAAGCTGGGTACTGAAATCAAAGGTTTCGTTTTCCCACTGAGGACCTTGATAATCCTTGAAAGTAATATTAGTACTTGGCAATAACAAAGCATCTTTCATAGGAAATGTACATTGTAGATAATACTATTAATCATCAAATTATAGACAGTGAAGCAAAAGCAGTGTGATATTAAGTGACTGTCGAAGTCACACCAGGGGCTCTTTCTTATACCTGAGGACTCAGAATTCCTAGTTTTCTGTCTCCTGTTCACTCTGCCATACCAACAGGTTCTCCTGAGGAACCATAGAGAAGCAATTACCAGTTAAAATTAAGTTGAAAGGAAACACTGCTTTCACAGGGCATGAGTTCTAACTTTATAAATGTAACAGCCTGAGAGCCCAAATGGAATTAACATCATTATCATTAACTAGGTGAAAGCTCTGAGGAAAGACCTTTATATTAACTGTCAGTCAAAATTAACATTTTTTTTAAAACAGATACAAAAGTAGAAGTAATAAATAAATAACCAGATACACGAGATCCTCAAAGTGCCCTGTTTTCTGCCATTGGAAAAAACCAGTATCATGGAAAATCATGCTGTGTTTTGCATCAATTTAGTGATTGCTTCCTCATCAAATAGGTCTGTTTTATTTACTTTCTACATGTTGATAAAATTCAGAAACTTCTGTAAGTAGAACAAAGTTTCCTTTTATTTCACCTTTCCGACTTCATTCCTGCCCCACAGAAATTGAACCCAGAGCTTTTACACTGAGCTACATCTTCAGTCCTTTGTATGTCTGAGACAAGATCTTGCTAAGTCATTCAGTGACCCAGGCTGGACTTGAATTTACGATCTTCCTGCCTCAGCCCACCAGAATGTTGGGATTACAGGCGTGTGCCACCGTGCCTGACTGATGCTGGCTACCTGTGCAACTTTATTTCCAACCACTGTGCTTGGTCTCAGCTCCAGCCACACCAACTTTCTTTCTGCTGCTTACCTCTACATAGCCACTTTTGCACATGCTAATACATCGGTTTGGGAGGCTCTCATCTCCTTTCACTCCATTCAAGTTTCTGTTCATATATCACATCTTAATAGAGTGTCCCCTGCTGAGCTCTTTAAAATAGGACCTACCCTCATGGTGTCCTACAACCCAATCATCTTACCTGCTTCCTGTTCATAGAACATGACACTGGTTAGTACCCAGTTACTAATATGTTGTCTATTTCTCCCTCCTTTTTCACCACATATGATCAACGCTATCACTATCTGGCAACTAAAAAAATGTGTTTTGTTATTATTGACATTGCCAAAGACACTGGAGAGATATCTTTTCATATTCCCCTGGTAAGAACAGAAATAAATGGTGCCCCTTTTGGGGAAATTTTTTAGTACAGAAGTTCCTAGCTAGCCATGGTTGCAGTTACCTGCAATCAACAGCAATCTAAAACTATTATGTAGAAAATTTTTCAGAAAGACAATTCTTTTTTGTTTGTTTGTTTTTTCTTGAAATGGGGTCTCAATATGTAGTACAGGATGCCCATGAGCTCACTTATGTAGCTTGAGGCTGGTCTCAAACTCACATTAATCCTCCTGTTTCAGACTCCTGAGTGCTGAGATTATAGGCATGTGCCACCTACCTGGCAAGAAACAGACAATTCTTAACTTTTACATTTCACAGCCTCCTCAGGAGAGTGATAAAATCTCACCCCATCTCACTCGATCTTGATCAAGATGTGACTTACTCTTTGCAACGTATATCCATACTACAAGCACTGCACACCTGTATAACACTGAGCCACCCCCTGAGTATCAGATCAACTTCACGATACTACAGTGCTGTGTTTGAGCAACCATCTTAGCTACTTTTCTCATTGCTGAAACAAAATACTCAGCACCCAAAGTTAAAGGAGGAAAGATTTACTTACAGTTGGCTTACAGTTTGTAGAAGTTTCAGTCCATAATTGGCTAGCTCCAAGGCAGCGTGGTATAGCAAATAGGCATCACAGAGGAGAAGCAGTCCATACAGAAGGTAGTAAAGCAAGAGCGGATCTTGCAGCCTCTTTCTGTCTCGTTAGTATACTATCTAGGCCACTGGGAATAGGGCAGGTCCTGAACCATTCAGTAGACAAATTCAACACTCATAGATTCCTAATCTGAGCAGCCTTAATCCTATCATTGCATATTAGTCAATCACACACTCTAGACCCATACACCTCTGAAAAAGCCCCATCTAAGACTGCATGAGGCTTTGAGGGGACATTAGATATAAGATACAACAGTAATCTTTGGATCATGGTCTAATATTGAGCCACAAAGTCTCAGGTGCTACCTCATTCCCTCTCACGTATGATCTGTTTTTTACATCTTCATAAGAATAAGCACAGTTCGGGGCTGGGGATTTAGCTCAGCGGCATAAGCACCTGCCTTGCAAGCAGGCGGTCGTGAGTTCAATCCCTGGTACCGATAAAAACTGAAAAAGACAAAAAAAAAAAAAAAATTAAGAATAAGCACAGTGAGGTATTTGAGAGACACAGAGAGACCATAATCATAACTTTATTATAGAACATTGTTATAATTGTTCTACTTCATGATTAGTTATTCTTGATGTCTTACTATGTCTAATTGAACATTAAACGTATTACACTGAAAGACCTATCTGGAAAATAATTAGCCTTACAGAGTAGCCACTGGCAAAAAATTAGTGATGGCCAGTAAGGCAAGCATAGGCTGACTGGGACTGGCTATTTTTGATCTTTAGTTTTGAAGGTTGATTGTTTTCCAGCTAGGTCTTAATGTCAGGAAAAGAAGATAGGGATGTATGTCAGTGAGCCTTGTTACTATAAATGAACTCCTGAGATAACATCTAAAGAGAGAAGGATTGTCTTGGCTTATAGCTTTAGAGATTCTAGTCTCTAAACCCTTCCAGGCCATACCCTAGTGAGCTGCCTCTTCCCACCTCA